ATATAGATGTTATCCTTCTACAAGGAGTTTGGTAAAATCTACCCAAAAGCAAACGGATCAGCAACAAGGCTTCACAAAACTGGCAGCAGCTCTCTCTACGGAGCTGCTTGAGAATTTCAGCTATGTTTCACTCCATTCTGCCTTGCCCCATAAACACACTGCTGGCCAACCCATGGCCAGCCCGGTACTGGTGTAAGCAGTGACTAATATCTTCACTACCTGCCCCAGCCCCAGCCCCAGCAGAGGTTGTGGGAGCGACTCAAGAGCAGCTGCAGAGCTGCTCCAAATTGCGCTCAGGGAAATGCAGCCTTTTCCCCTTCCTCCTCCCACATTATCATCGTCCTCTGCTGTGCCAAGTGCCTGTATAAAACAGAATACAGAATCACCTGTGTATATCTTTATTAAAGGTAGCTACAGGGTTTTCATTACAAAGCAGCCATACAATAAGGCTGTGCTCTGTAGTCATAGGATGTGGTATGTAGTTCCCTATCTTGTAACATTTAAGTGCTTTAAATGTATATAGGCAGATTTCATTGTCTGCTTTGTTACATTTTAATAGCTTTGATAGGAACTCACCTAGTTTTACAAAGAGCAACCCAAGACCGTGGATTTTTATTTTCTTTGCCTCTTACAGCTCTTTTTGATTCTTTGTTAGGTTTGTCAGGTCACTGCCCAGCAACCTGTGCAAGCAGAGCTTATGCTGAGGTATCAGCAGCTGCAGTCGCGACTGGCCACGCTCAAGATCGAAAACGAGGAGGTAAGATCCGTGTCTGCCCCAGCTGTGCTCTGGACATGGTTTTCAGCGGCGCGTCGGACACTGCAGGATGCTGCAGTGCTTTCTGCCTGGCCAGAAGATATAAAGGATAGTAAAATGGCTTCAATCTGTGTGAGCTATTTTAATTTTGCAAATCAAATACTGGCAAATATTCTAAGTTGGAAGTATATAAGAAAAAGCTCTTTATACACCCTTGCCTTTCCTGATAGTTGGAGGCATTTCAGGGGATGTAAATCAGTGCGGGATTTGGCATGCAGTAAGTGTGGCTTTGTTTGCCCAAGTCATGCATAGAATAGAACCAGAACAAAACACCAACATATGTTGGTTTCACATAGCCTCTGTTCTTTCAGGAAAGATTTGAGATCTTTCATTTTCAAATGATGAAAACATATGTATATTTGCATGCTTTTATACTGCAGTCTGCCTTTTTTTTTTTTTTTTTTTTTTACTGTGTGTTCAAACTTTTATTTGTCAATTCAATTCTGGGAAAATAAACCAGTTCTGTAAATATATTTTGACTCAGAGAAAAAAGCTTAGTCTTTTTTAGCTAACTCTTGTATTCGTTTAATACATATATATCGTATAATAAGTTGAATTTTAAAGGAAGCTCTTATATTCTAAGCAATATGTACTTTGTAAAAGCATGTAATGTTTGGTTGCGTACAATCAAGTGTTAATTCTTTTTCGGATTGTTGAAATTACTGTATTTTCCTCACAGCTGCTCAGTCCAGTTTTAGGAAACCACTGAGCGGAGAAGAGTTGAAACAGGATGATTTTTTCCTTCATTCATTCGTGTGTCCATCAGCAAGCTGTACTGCTTGAAACCTGTTTCTGCTAGCTTAGAACTGAACCGTGAAGGTCACTGTCAATGTAGAGCCTCCTGTTGCAGCCACCTTTGTAGACCTGATAAATATGGAAAGCCTTAGATTCTGGAAATACCTTTTTTATATATTCAGCTCTCTCTTAGAAGATTAAACGTGCATCAGATAGATGTGCATGGAGCAGGATAAAATTACTCCTACCCCAGCTTGCTACAAATGAGTAAATGTGTTGGATGTGGAGACTTGTCCTGAGATGCTAAAAGAAAGGGCATTTGGCAAGCGACATAAAGTGTCACCAGGGTCTAAGTTTCTGGAAGTCTTGCAAGTTGTTTAGTTCGTTCTTGAACGATGTACATAGACCTCAACAAAAATCCTGATATAACCAACTATCCTCAGATACTGTATGAGTATCTGTGTGGGTACTTTACTTACTTATCCAAAGCACTGAATTTCCGTAGTCTCCTTTCAAGGGAAGGTAGATCCTCGCCTGAATATAGACATTTAGAAAGTCCATCATTTACTGTCCATATGGTCACCATACAGAATTCTATATTTGACAGGAATTACAGTGAATGCTTGCTAGAGAATATATTTTGAAGCTTTGTGATAAAAAAGCCACCGAGTTACTGTCTTCTGTGCCTCCATCCTCAAATTGCTACTTCTGAAGGGCAAAGGAACTCGGACCATCTTTTGTGGTAGCTGAGTCAAAATTTGTTATGCTGTCAGCTAGAGCTATTTATAAATGGCAGTAGTGAATGCCTATCATGGGAATAACTCACCTAGTAAAGTGCTCTTTTCTTTATAAAGAACAGAAAAGCTATGCTGTTCTCTATTCTGGCAGCAAAGGCAGGCTGTATAGTGGGCACAAATTGCACTTTTATCCAATTTAAGGTAGTGTAAAAGGTTCTCCATTTAAATGAGAACCCATTCCTATGTTAAAATACAGAAGTTATTTCCTTGGTTTTTTGGCGTACCTTTTTAGATTAGAATTTTTCTCATTCTGTTTTATGTCATGAGTGCCTAGCTCAAATGCTAACGTCCATTAGACATGTAAACTAGTCCTTTTAAAACTACCTAAATTCAGAAAAATAGCTCAAGGAGGTGGAAGGTGACAAACGCACAAGGAAAGAGAAAGAGTTTTTGACATTTGAGCGCAAGGGCATGGAGGAGAGATGCTGACAGGCATGAGAAGGAGCCGATCCTGTACTGGAGGCATGTGCGGAAGTGCATATAATTCTGTGAGTCTCTCTGCCAGAGACCCTTCCAGCAGAGCTTGGAGGTAAATCACATCCTTGTGGATCTTGACAGTTACTTTTACTGTGCTGTGGAGATGCTGCCTCTGTGCCCTGGTTTCCGCTGTGAGTGTCCATGCTCCACAACCCATAGGAAGAGATGCAAACTGCTCTTTCTCCAACCTACTCCTCCAGCTGCACTTCTGCTGGCTAAACACCACTACACACCTGGGTTTTTCCCATGGAAGAACATACAGCCACATCCTCAGCTGTACCTCTGTTCAGCCACGCTCTCACCTGGAGGTTTGACCATTCAGAGCAGCGTATCCATATTGCTCGTTGTCCCAAGTCACAGGGACCAGAATTGAATCATGCCACATTTCTCTCTGATTCTCATTTCAAGATACAAGTGCCTGAGACTGCCATACAGACAACACAAGAGTACACCCGTGTTTGGGGGCTGCACCACAGTAAAGCAGAGAACTAAACATAATATCTACTAATGTTATTCTTCAGATATATATATAGAGAGAGAGAACATATATATGTTCTAGTGGACCTCACTTTTCAAATTAACACATCACAGTAGGAAAGTGTGCCAGAGGATTCATTTGAGTAAAGAGCTTTTGTTCTAAGCTGTACTAGTATCTATTCATCTTCCCATTTGATAAACTGTGCCTTTTGCCACCAGGTTAAAAAAACCACGGAGGCCACCTTGCAGACAATCCAAGACATGGTTACCATTGAGGACTACGATGTGTCAGAATGTTTCCAGCACAGCCGCTCGACCGAGTCGGTGAAGTCCACGGTCTCGGAGACGTACCTGAGTAAGCCCAGCATTGCAAAAAGAAGAGCTAACCAGCAGGAAACTGAGCAATTCTATTTCATGGTATGTTGGTTGCTTCCTCGTCCGTGTGACACAGGCCAAACACCTGAAGTGAATGTTGTGCAGAAGTTCCTGGAATTTAGGTCACATACATAATAATAGCTTGGTCTTCGTCTCTACAGAAATTCAGAGAGTATCTGGAAGGCAGTAATCTCATCACAAAGCTTCAAGCAAAGCACGACTTGCTGCAGAGGACACTTGGAGAAGGTAAATATCTCACAATAAAGTGAAAAGTGATTTGAGGTTATATAGTGAATATTTCAAATGTTTGAAGGGGAAAATTAAAGCTTACCTGTCCAGTAAGCAGAGGCCTGCTTTTTTTTTTTTTTTTTTTTTACCAGTCATAGTTTTGGTGCAGTGGTAAGACTATGTACTACAAATTGATTTTATTTCCTCCACAGACAGTCATATCCACTGTGCAAACATTTAGACAATTAGACAAGTGACTCTATCTGGAAATGGAGCTATTGAGTGAAAAATCTCAATTCTGAAATGAGAGCTGACATAGTCTGTGTAGGTTGACTTCAGAGCTGTGCCAAATACTTCGCTCTTCCCAGCGATTCCTGTTGTCTTCAGGTCTTATTTTAAGAGGTGAAGAAAGTGATTATTTTAACATGGCAAGTTATTCAGGACCAGTCTCTCATACTGGATTTGCTACTGCAGCTTTCCTGACGTGCATATTTGAATGTCCTTCTTGCAGCCTAACTCCTCAATGGAGTATTTATGAAGGTAACAGGTGAAAACCTAACCTCACTAATGGTGGGATTCTGCAGAGTGTTTACTTACAGAATGAGTAGAAGCTTGATTACTGTTGTTTCATGCAAAACTTTTTTTTTTATCTTATCCATTGTCCATAAGCTGACTTAGATGTCCGTGATTAAATGAACTGAAGCTGCGTTATGACAGTAATGAATCAGCCCCTATATACAGTTCCAGCCAGTCTCTCACCAGGCACTTCCTCATGGACCCAGAGGAGAAGCAGATTCATACTTGCCTTAAGGAGTAGCCACACAGTGTGTTACAGTCTTGAGAGGAAGTGAGTTACACAACAGAGTAAAAAACCCCGTCCTGAAGATTAAGGACTGTATGTAATTCAAAGTTCAGATTAAAGAAAGCAGACTTGTTCTTTCAAGAGCAATAGGATATGGCAATTTATTTTCTTTTTACTGCCAAAAACCTGTTGTTAATCAAGTCTTTTCTTACGTGCAATGCAAAAGACAGTTCTACAAATCCAGTTGTGGAGGTGCCTAAACAGCCGTTAACATTTCTGTGACTCAAAGCCCAAGTCCAGAGAGTGACTGCAGTTGGGGGATGAGAAATAAAGAGTGTTTTGCTAAAAGGCTGGACTCTAGAAGTTGATAACTGCTTTTAAGCAACTTACTGCATTGTCTCCTTTTTGGTGGAAGTTTTCATATACTAGAATTCTGTTTTAAATGTATGTGTTGAGCAGTTTAGTCCCACAAAACAACATGCAGTTATGTTAGCCAAAACTAAGGAAATTTCTTCCTCCAAATATTTACAGAAAACATATTTGGAAAAATAAAATAAATGTTTGTTATTTGGAAGCCCAGTAAAATACATTTTCATGGAGTGAAGGGGAAAAAAAAAGCAACAGAATCCTTCTCCTAATGCATGTTTGGAAAAAAACAAAGGGAGAAGTGTAGCAAAGGAAAATCAAAGAAAAACTTCTCAGCAGGATGACCAAAGTGCTAAACTGCCATCAGCGTCCAGGTTATTCTGCCATGCTCAGGCAGGTTTGGACCCTTCTGCTTGAGGAGTTCCCTTTGACCCAAGGGCGTTGATCTCTTTTGCCCTTTGTTTTTGCACATGGTTGTTGTGTCATCACACCGTGGCACATAGAAATGATGCCCCAAATGTATGCATACATTTTCAGATTGGAGATTTGAAGCAAAAGCCATCATTCTTGCAGGTTAAAAAGTTCAAATATCCCATTTTATTGAAAAAGTGTGTCTTGTATTGCAATGTACATGCCTCAGAAGGAAGACCTGGATTCTGTGCATGCCTCAAATGGAGATGGCTGAAAGAGTACTTTTGCAGTGGAATTAAGAACATTACTGCTGTAGCTGGTATAGAAATGAATTTATAGGAAATGATCTTAACCCTGGCTCCCTCAAAATGCCTTTTGGAGCCTTTCATGTCAACAAGACAACAACGCATCAAATAACAGAGGGTGTTGTATTAAATAACATGGGGGAGAACAGAGAGAAGAGAAAGGGCAGGAAGGGGTTGCTGATCTGTGAGGTTGTTCTTTGGCACCCTCTCTTGCTTTTATCTCATCATCTCTCCCCTCTTGCTGTGCAGGATGAGGTAAGCTCAAGCTGTGGGGCGCGAGGTTAAGGGTTACACAGTCCTTCCTCATGACTTAAATATGAGCGAGGCCCTCGCTGGGCCTCACCGTTCCGGCGGCGCGACTGACAGCGGCCAGCGGGCTGTGCCGTCACTGGGGGACCAAGTGACATGAGCAGGGGGCATTGAGCCGGCCTCCCTGTTCAGAACTGCTCAGCTGAGGTTCTCAGAAGCATCAGGGAAAGGGTAAGAAGGTGTGGACAGAGTCATCGTCCAGAGGACAGCATTAGCAAGCAGGGAACAGGATTTCTGTGAAATATGTTGGATACCTGGCAGTCAGGATTGTTCTCAGTGATGTATACATAGGAAACACACGGATTGCCATATCAATTCAAACCTGAAGCTCATCTGTTAAACAAGGCAAGGGGAAAGGTAAGAAAGCTAACAGGAAGTTATAAAATAAGTTGTTGTTTTTCCAGATAAGTCTTGCCCTGCTCTCCTACGTATCAGAGGTGTAGTTAAACCCCAAACCTGGAATTCTTAACATCTTTCCTATGTTTTCCCAGCATTCATAATTGAGATTCTTCATCTCAGTGAATTTCCCTTGTTTTTTTTGTTTTGTTTTGGTTTGGTTTTTTTGAGTAGGGAGAAAGAAGTTGCTGACTTAGCATCTCCAGGACATAGATTTTACTTACTCTTGTTCCCTCTTTTCACCTCTCTAAAATAAATGTCATCAGTCTTTACGTGTCTTACTAATGCCAGATTTTCTTCCCAAACCTTGTTCTTTGTGTCACCATTTGCAGTTCCACACCCTTCTGCTACTGCAAGATGTATTTTCAGATGAGGGTATTCAGTGCAGTCCAGTATTTCAGGCGCAACTGGATATTGCCACGTAACGATGTTATGTTTTGCATACCACTTTGATTTTCACTCTTTTTGCAGCCTGATGTCTGATAATGCTTTTTTTTGCCTGAACTTTGAAACAGAGTGGTCTACTCACACGTAGTCCAAACGATGCTCAGAGTGATTTTCTGAGTCAATATTGTTATCTGTAGTTGTTAACTGCATAAGTGTTTACTTCTTCCCCATATTTTTTATTTGAGCTTGTCAATACTGAATTTCCTGCGCTGTTTTTTTGTCTTGTTTCCTAATTTGATTAAACTCCTGTGAAGTGCTTCACAGTTTTGTCAGAACTTGATGCAAATATTTTAGTCATCTGCACAATTTTCTGCCTCCCTTGCTGCTGTGATCTCTCTACGACATTAATAAATGCTTCATGTAGGAGGACATAATGGGGAGGCTCAAATGAATGACTGCTATATCTGGCGTGATGAAAACATGGATTAATTCCACTTAGTTTCCCTTTTGTCTTGTTTTTGATCAACGATAATATTTTGCCACTCAGTCCATGCGTGTTTAGTTACTTTAGTAGCCCCATGTGAAGAAATTTGTCAGGGGTCTTTGAAAATCTGCATAAGTTAATCCAACTGAATTGCCTTTATCCACTGTTTTACTGACAAATTCAAAGAATTCTAATAAATTAATAGAGCATGATCTAGACCCATCTAATAGACCCCTTGGGGATACTAGACTGGTTGGAACTTATCATATCATGACCTTCCTGCTGTTTCATTATTTTGCTTTTGGTTATTGTGTGTTTCCATACTGCACATGCCTGACTCACTGGTTCACAAAGGTTACCAGGAACCTTTCTGGAGGACAATGTTTGCTTCTCTACAATGCTCTGCAGTCGTCACTCTTCTTAAGTCTGTGTTGCATAACTTCCAAATGATAGCATTGTAATTTTTTTCATGTGATATGCAGCCAAAAGAGAAGAGGGAGTCTTTTGTTAGCAAGCCATTGGTGCCCAGAGCTCCCCACTTTTGGCACTGAACAGGTTTAGGCGCATGCAGAAATGCAGTCTTGTCTTGACACATCTCTATTTCCATACTGACCTGGCCATTAAGTACAGGAGCGTAGGCAGTGGAAGCCCTTTGGAGCTGTGCTTCGAATTGCTCACAGCATCAAGTGCCTCTTCAGCCTATGGGCAGGCTTCTGAGGGGTCGCTTCCTGCACGCGTTGGATTTTAAATGGGACTGTGGAGAGGGTAGATAATTGCACAGCTCTGTTGTATAATTGTTCCTTTTTGCTAGTACCCGAAAGCTGGGGTTAAATAAAAATTGTTGAGCATAATTTACATATTAAAAATGTATTTATTTCCAAATTCTACACATGATTGTTTCCTGTTCATTGAACTCTTTTTAGGTCACAGAGCTGAATACATGACAACAAGGTAAGGCCTTTTTATTTGACTTGCTTTAGAGAGCTATGCATGTAATAAAATTTGAGGAACTGAAAATTTTAGAACCCAAATTCTTATGGGTATATATCTTTAAGTTAACACTGAATAACCTGCCTCTACCAATGTCGACATATTTGGCATTTTAACAGGTCTCTATATTCCCAGACTGGCAGGGAGGGAGTGTTGTATCACGCTGCTTAGTGCAGTGCATACTTTTTTACATACTTTTTAGTTTTTTTAGTGCTATACCTGTGAGCTTGCATCCCCACGCCAATACAGACGGGCTCACTGCCACAGTGCAGCGCCGGCAGCGTCACAGTGTGGGACAACGGCCACCCCTCGGGTCTGCAGTTGCCACTTGTGGCCGTCACAGCTACAGGCACCACCCTCCGTCCTCCAGGCAGCAGGAGCATCCAGCCCCGCTGCCCTCGGCTCACTCCTCCCTTCCTTTTACCTTCCACCCATCCCAGTTCAATGCCTTCCCTTTCTCCTTTGGAATTCCCTGTCCCATCCATCAACTCTGAGTTAAAAGGAAAATAATAATGTTGCCCTCACAGCCAAGAAGTTTGTGTCCAGCTCTTGCTCTGTGTTCTAGATTACATGGTTTCATACTGTGTTTTCTACCTGGTCCCTCTATCCTGGCAACATCTCTACAAAGACTGCAGAGCTCCCCTCCTTCTATAGGTCCCTAGTCCATTTTGACTCTGTCCACTGGACTTTGTCACCCTCTTCCCTTACACAATTCCAACTGAAAATTGGTGGCAAATCAGAGTATTCATCCTTATTGCTGGCAATTAATGTGCCTGTACACTTAACTTGCCCCTGGATGCTACCGGGTACCTATGGAGGTCACCAAGCCTATACCTAACAAGAAAAAGTTATTTCTTGACCTCACAGCAGGTGACACATCAGGTTCACAGCATCCTGAATTCCCTCTTCTGCAAGCAGCTGGAGGAAAATGGGGTACCCAGGTAGTGTTTTACACTAGTGAAGTGAGGGAACAGCCTGAAGCCATCTTAGCATCCGTCTCCTCACAGCTCTAAAGGTCTGGAAAGAAGCCTTGAAGGAGCAGGCCCAGCCTGTCCCCTCCTCAGCACCGCTGCCCCCGTTCCTGCCCCACCGTTCAGCTTGGGTTCCTGTTTGCGAGCCAAGCAAATGGAAATGTTCTTCAGAGCCAAAGTGAAAATATAGAAGGGAAGAGATGTAGGTATTATAGTGACGGGCCAGATTCCCACCACTGTAATGTTTTTGAAGTATTGTTCCTTACCCCATCCTCCAAAATCATTGATTTTTTTTGCTGAATCCTAGAAGAGGCATAGAAACATTGGACTGCTGATGCAGGGGAATTAGGGAAACTGTTGGCATGCAAAATGCCACACTCTTCACAAAATAAATCACCACTTAGAGAAGAATATTTGTTTTCTGTAATCTCTTTCAGTCATAGTTGTGACATGTGTAACGTGTAACATACTAGATAAACATTTTGCAGACCAAAGTTCTGTGTGTTTTTTTGGGAGTTGTGCTGTTTTTGTTTGCAACATTTTGCAGACCAAAGTTCTGTGTATTTTTTCTTTTTGGGAGTTGTGCTGTTTTTGTTTGTTTTACATTGATGACTTTTTAAAAATTCTTTTAGCTAATTTGCAAAGTGTTTATTTTCTTGTGTAAAGATGTTGATGATTGAATGTGAAAGGCTAGAGCTCTTCAACCTTATTGGCTCTAGCTGGGGATGCAGACAGTTTGTTCTGGAAGCATCCGAGGAGTGTGCTGAGCAGCTTTACTTTGCATTTGAGCTTCTCCAGCATGAAGCAGCCCTCCTGCCTGGTGGAGGAGGTGCTCCGAAGGCCCTGGGCTCTGCCCCGGCGGGCAGCGGGGAGCCCAGGGGTGCTGCGTGTTTTGTGCATGACAGCAACAGCAAAAGGCCATTCCAGTTGTGCAGCGTTTGGGAAAAAATGTATATGATAAAACAACATACCAGGGATTCACCAGGAATGTCATAGTTATCCATAAGGAGTGTACTTTTAATGGAAGGGTTCTCTAATTACTGTTACACTTGAATTTGATGGAATGTCTTTGCTTGTGAAGTACTGTGGTTATTTCTCCCTTTACAATGTTCTGTTGTTTTGCCATGAGCTTGCAGACGTTTCGTTTTATTGTGTGACTTAATTATACCTTGCTCAGTAATGATATTCCCTTCCCTTAGGCCTCCAAATCTTCCCCCTAAGCCCCAGAAACACAGGAAGCCCAGACCCCGATCACAGTATAGTGCTAAGTTGTTTAATGGTGATTTGGAGACATTCGTTAAGGTACTGGCACCAGCCACCGGAGTGGCTGATCTCAACACCTCTTACTATAATGGTCAAGACCTCATATGGCCTGAGGCAGATCATTATGTTTGAGTCTGTCCTGGGGCTCTTTTCTTTCCCAGTTGATCAATATAATACTTCCTGAAGTCAGAGGGAAAGCCGAGGTTTTGTTTCTCACATTAGACTCACTACGATTTTGTTAATCAAGTAGAGATAGTTTTGGCAACCTGGGTTTATTTAGGAACCGCAGCCTCATTTAGATCTAGGAAACAGCAGTGTATCCCACAGCTTAGTGCAACATCCTGCTTGCCATTTCAGTTACATTCGGTATTCAAAGTCTGTGGAGAAGCAGGTTTGATATCCAGCTCTAGATTTCCTGTGACTTTGGGAATTTATTATATTGTGTGAAATTGTGATCACCACTATTCTGGTTCTTGTATCTTTTCTGTATTTACTATCTTCTTCTTGTTCCTACTTTTATTTCTAATAATGCTTCTAGCCGGGGCCGGAGGAACTCTCACACAAGACACCAGGTATAGTGTGGTGAAAAGAGAACCCTCCCCGCCTCGCTGTCGGGTTGCATTCACGCCTGGCTCAGCGTTAGTTCTTTCATTGAGCTGAAAGGAGAAGTTTGCATTAAGGAACGAGTATATGACTGTAGCAGGCAAAACTGAGCCAGAGCATGACTGTGGAGTGATTGAAGTCTTAAAGGATGGATGGTCCTTATTATCTAACAAGCACCTGCTCACCACAGTCAATTAGTGTTCCTGTGATCAGAATACTATGTTAAAGGAGAAAAAAATCTTCAAAAAGTATGTAACAATACATTTACAAATTAAGTGACTGAATCCTAGCTGTAAGCTCTGTGAACTGGATTTGCATGTTCCATAGATTTTTTTTTCTTGCTGTGAAGTGTTGCTGGCAGCCAGTATTTGCAGAGCCACGTTCTGTTTTCTGTGGCACCATACCAGTTTAGCTGTCTTTGAAAGGAGTTTGCAGCCAGCCTCAGTAAAACTGTGAAAAACGATTGTTGTTATGCAGTGCTGCAAACCATGGTGCAAGAGATGAATATCATAAGCAATTTCCTGCTAAAAGATGAAAGTAAGCAAAGAAACAGAAACTCCCACAACAAAAATCCCGTTATTAGAGAAGCACAAATGATGTGGGAAGAAACGCTACCTCATTGTGTTCTCTCTCCTTGAGAAGGGTTCTCCCTGGCAGCAGAGGTGTGAGCTGGCTTGCGAGTGGAGAGCATCCTGCCCAGAAGCTCTAGAAACCCTCTGTGGCCAAAGATCGTGTCATTCTTCATAGGGATGAGTCCTTCTGACAGGAATGGAAGGATGACAGCTACTAAAATCCAGCATTGCACCACATTGCTTTGCATTACATTTTTGCATCAAAATACTCACTGGTAAATGACTGATTGTTGGCTAATTACATCAGATTAAATTCACAGCAGCAGCAGGGTCCGTGTTCTCGACATCTCACCCACGCAGATTGTTACTTCAGACTATGTCCCTGTCATTAGATCCAAAATCCAAAGCTGGTGGTTTAGATTACTGAAGAGACTTGGCTAGCTATAAATCAGTGCATAGCTTTGAACAGATGAGAGCAATTTTCTTTTTGGTAATTTCTTACTGCAAACTATCTTCTCAGAGGTTCTACTCGTCTGCATGAGTCAGTACTAACAGGAGATGCGAGTGCATGTTGTGCATGTGTTCTAATATTTTGGGGAGGGTTTTTGGATGTCAGAGGGTTCAGGGTATGTAAAGATGACAAAATTCCTGGTTTAAAAGTTGACCTTTTTTTCCTTTTCTTTTTTTTATTCAACTGATACTGAATCAAGACACAACCCAAATGGAAATTTTTGGTCCAGATATTATTGACTTTGGCTAAGCAATTTTTGTTAGGTTTAAATTTAAACGACAATCAAGCCACAATTTAAATAATCTAGTTACCAACCCAGTCTTCCATAAGCCCCACTAAAGCAACATGGAGCACACAGAAGATCAGGGGTTAAGTTATCTCAGGAAGTGCATTGCTTCAGGGCTTTGGTGTGTGTTATTTTTTCAAACATATAAAAATAGTTGGCCTCTCTGCTTGGGCTTAATTCATCATCCTCCCATTCGTGTAAATCGGCATGAAAATGAAGGACTAGTTTATAAGTGAAAAAGCATGTTTTGAGTTACAAGGTACTTTTCAAATTCATAATTTTGTAGTATAGACTGGTTTTATATTAAACTTACAGATGAATTAATCACTTCTCTGAGTGCTTACATATTTGAAATTCATCTTGGAAAGAAAAATTATAGCTTTCAAGACAAGAATTTTCAAGGTGCCTATTATTTATGAAAAAGTATTTTTTTCTAGCATAAGCACTAGCTTTGCTAAATAATTTTTAATCATGTGGTTTGTGTCTCTAATAGATATTTGATGACTGAGAGTTATTAATGTGCGTTGGGTAAAACATTGTTTCTTGAAATGCCCAACATTCATCCAAAATACTGGGGAAGTTCTTTTGGGGAAAAAAAAAAGTGCTTTAAAAAAAAGGCTAATCATTCAGTGAAAATCAGTGTATGCTTAACTCATGCCCCTACCGCTGCAAGAATTTCTTACATTAAAACACCTCTTTTTAGCAGTGTCACCCGTTTTTTTGTCAGCACATTTTTCCCCCCTCCTCCCATCATCCCCATGAATTAGGCCCTTAGCATGTAAGACTTTCCCCGCCAGGAGAAGAACGGTAAGTTAGATGAATCAGATCAGAAAGGTCATCTTCATGATGGACTATTATCATTAACATTAAATTCAAAAGAAAAGTTCACTGCTTTAACTCATTTGGCTTCCGAAGTCTAAGCTGAATGCATGAGCTTAGGTGTCACATACAGTGTTAGGCAGATACAGTGGTAGAGACAGAGAATGAAGGCTGCAGATTTCCTGATTCACTGTTTTTCATTAAGAACATTAATCCTTTCTTTTCACCTCTTCCTTCTCCCCCTCCCTCTAATAGGAAGAGAATTCTGTTAGAAATACTTTCTTTGGTGTTGTGGGGTTTTTTTGTCAGCACTGTATGTCCATCTGGATTGATAAGAAAACTAATTTTCCCATTCAGTGTAGGGTAGGGAAGTTTCCTCTTTCAAGTTTGCAGTACACATTTCTGCTTCTGTCTTTCCAGGATTCAGGACAAGTCATTCCTCTCATTGTGGAAAGTTGTATCAGATTTATCAATTTATATGGTGAGCTCTAAAACACTTTGTGACATTTCTTTGATCCCCTGGCTATTTTGTGTGTCTTTGGCATTTACTGCTACAGCTTTGTCAAATTAGCTGATTTCTAAAATAGATTCATTTCTCACCATTCTTCCCCATCTTTGCTTCAGGTCTTCAGCATCAAGGAATTTTTAGAGTGTCTGGTTCCCAGGTGGAAGTCAATGATATTAAAAATTCATTTGAGAGAGGTAATTGCATTTTCAGATATTCAAGCACCTTAATATCTGACACTTAAAAAATCTGTTAAATTCTAATTGCCCTCTTGGCTTTCTAAGTGATTTGCCATGCACTTTGTGTACTGCATCTAAAACTTCGCACCATCATATTCCTAATAAAGTGTAATGTAATTGATTTTCCCCTTGTAGTGTCTCAGGAGCTTGAGGTTATGTTCTACCCTTTGTGTAGCCAAGGCATACAACTCTTGAATTAACTGCAAACTTAGTTATTTTGTTCATGGTAAACTGCAAGGCATAGTTTTGTCTGTATTGTACTTTGAAGATCTTCAGAAAGGAAAGATTATCTTTTTAATTAGATTCAAGAGACTACTTAGTGCAATTTGAGACTGCTGATATGTGATCTTGTGGAATATGAGCGGCGACTTTGGAGTCCCTCTGCCAAAGCAGCATCACGGTCAGTGCAGTCACAGCTTGGGAAAGAGCCATGTCCGTGTTCAGCCATGGGTTTCCTTCCTGAAGGAACTTCAACACCAGAGACGGAATCATTGGAAAGATACCAGAAAGTGAAAATAGCTTTTTAAGCACGAATAACTGGCAACACCAAGCCTAGGATTGCTCTGCTAGTGCAGCCACAATCCAGGAATCCTCTAATTGTGTTTAAACAATACCCATTACGTTGTTTTTCAGTTTTATGTCCTCTTCCTTGGATTTTAGAACCTGGGTTTTAATTTCCAGATCTTCTGCAGATTGTCTGCTAATGGAAAAACCCTTGGAGCAATAAGTCTTGTGACTGATACCATGAAAAAATACATACAAGGTTTTTCTCCCTTGTATTAGTTATGTAGCTTGTTAAACCTGATCTAGTCCTTGACAAAATACATGAGGCAGCTTTTTTCACGTGCCAAGTGAAGCCACGCTCTCTTTTTATTTTTAAATTTGCTTTATTGTTAACTACTTCTCCTAGGTAGCATGAGTCTGGAAGATGTCCACGTTTCAAAGTGCTTCAAAATGAAGATCAAGTCTCTAAAGTACACATAGTCCAGTCATGGACTTGAGGGTTTCAGTACCACAAAACTGTTGAACATATTTCTGAATGTTATGGGCTTTTTTAGAATGAATGTAGAAAAATTTGCAGTTTGAAAATTTTTTTTGCTGTTTGAAGAATTATTTTATTCCATTTGCTTTATGTAAGGTCCCAAAGAATAATCCCAGAAGTCCTCTTCAGTTAAGAACATTTGCTCTTTATTTTAGTAATGACAAATCATTACATGTCCAGAAATGCACTGTGGGAACTTCAGGGTCTAAGAGATCACTACGTTATGTCATTTAAAGAAACCTTTTTTCACTCTGCTATTTCAGTTTAATCACAGGCTGAGATTTCTAGATCAATGTTTGTTATCTTACTCGAATGCTTGTATTGCCACCTCCCACACAGTACAAGCAAAAAAAACCCCCAAAATGTCATTCCCTTATACAAATGTTGCATGCAAGAATTCTCCTGTATGTGTGTTTTACTTGTTTTATTTACTTTTTTTAGGTGAAAATCCTTTGGCAGATGACCAAAGTAACCATGACATTAACTCAGTTGCTGGAGTACTGAAGCTCTATTTCCGAGGGCTGGAAAATCCTGTCTTTCCTAAGGAAAGATTTAATGATCTTATTTCTTGTATCAGTAAGTAGAAATTCTTATTTCTTTCTCCTTAGAATTGTATTTTCACATATACAGTAGCTGCCTGGAAAAAGAGCTAACTTCACCGATTTTTCTGAGACAATTTGCCATCTGCAACAGTCTGGGTCAGTTATTAGTCATCCTCGCAGCTGTGGTCATTGCCTTTTTCCAGTAGGATTAATGCACAGTACACGTCTTTGTTTAGCCCAGCAGGATGAACATCTCTTGGTGTAGCCGAGATGGTTAAATTGACACGCGTTGCTGTTTTGTTCGGCCCGCTGGGGCAGGCGGAGGGGGATGAAGTGATGACCGTGCAAAGCGAGTATGTGACTTTGCACAAAGGTTTTCATGCCCTGCAGCTTGCAGTCAGTGCTGGTGAATAAGTAACTGACTGTTGGACACTGTGTGGTTCTGGGCTGTAGCTTAAACCCTCAGGTCCGCTGCTGGGACGACTCTTGGGCACAGGCACCACGGGGTGCAAGAGCCTGCTCTGCACCGAGGCCATGGGAGCAGGATGCTCCGCGGGAGCAGCGTGCCAGTCTGTTGCTGCTGCTGGTTGCAGCTGGGCACGGGGGGTTGTAGGAATTGGGGAAGGTGCCAGCGGATGGCTGAGTTGCACTGGAATGCACAAACCCCCTTCCAGGGCCCAGATGCCTGCAGATGCCTATGGAGGGCTGAGGCCAAGCCAGCAATCAATAGCTTCACTGTTTCCTGCGGGTCCATCAGATGTAGGCAGAGCTGCTGACTTTGTGGAATAATTTCCTCCTTAGAGCCCTTTCCTTGGGAATCGCTGTCTCCAGCCGAAAGGAGCAGGAGGCCGTCGCGCAGGTGCCGAGGGCTCTGGGGACGCGCGCGAGGGCGGGCGCTCTGCAGAGAGCTGCCCTGGCAGAGGAGAGCAGGGATGTGCGCGCCGTGTCCGCACAGGCCGCGTGGAGACCCGCGTGTGCCCTCTCCTTCCGTGTGGGGAGGGCTGCAGGGATTGAGCACGGACGTTACGGGTCTGCGTCGCTGCAGCCATCTCTGTGCACCACGTGTTGGGGGCTGTCAGGACAGACCCTGGCAGTTTTCTGCAGCTGTCACTGTTTACAGGCCCAGTAGTGCTGAGAAAGACCTCAGAACTGCAGGCTAGTGGTCTGATCCCACACAAGGGATGATACCCAAGGGGGACACGGTGTCCATAGGAAGCCAGGATTCACCTTCAGGTACCTGCTGTGCCACAGCCCAGCAGATGTCTGAGAGTCAGGTAAAAATGAAAGCTGAAGAGGGATCACTCTGGCTGAGTTTGATTTTCTGCATGATAGGGATGCTGGGACTTTACATAATCATTCCTGCACTGCTTTATGGGAGTTATCTTGTGAGTGAATTAAAGCACCATCCGATGAAAAAAAAATATTGATTCAATGGCTTCAGTTGACAGATAAGCAGTTTATCCTTGGATAAACTGTTAAAATGATTAATCACTTTAATCATTACATATGTGTGCCAGGTTTCCTTTTCAAAATTTCTGCTGTCAGATTCTGCCCTTTAGATCTCTTTGTGGGATTCTTATTTTGACAAACCATTAGGAACAACAGGACTGGTAGTCTTATATGTGGAGGTAGTATTGCCCCCCTACTTGCAGATTCCTCCACTTGTGCTGAATGGCTTTAAATAGAATTGGGAAATGCCAAGAGTGAGCATTCAGCTTACAGAGACTGCACGTGTGAGGGCTTAGGAGACGGAAAATATCTGCCCCAAACAGCCTTTTGAAGAAGAGGAACCTACATGATTTCAAAATATTTCCATTGACCATTGGTGCTTCTTAAGACAGACTGAGATATTTGGAGCAGAGGCAGAGGTTGTACACAGAGGATTAGCCAGCCTCTCCGGAGGGTCCCGTTCAGTTATCCAAAATGTTCATTTGTTACAAAGAAATTTTAAGAAAAGTGACAATGAATACCAGATCTCTAGCACTGGGTTGTGGTTTCCTTAGAAGAGGTCAAAGTTTTGCAAGTTCAGGATAGGATGTAGATTAATTTGCTGCATAAGGGGAATTGACAACCTGTGTTTATAGCAGCATCATCCAGTAGAACCGAAATCAGTCATAAGCAATAGTCTTGAGCAAAGCACTGCTTTTCCCAGATACATTTTAGAATGGGACAGTTATTGGGAAATGACTTGTTGCCATCTGATCCTGTTTTTAAACTTTTTTTTCCTTTGAGGCTGTTGTTTGGTTGGGTTTCCACAACACTCTCTATAGGGCTGCACTGAAAGTCCTGTCAATGCTTCCTTCAGTGGATGGAGAAGATTGGATTCTATCGGGACAAAAAGGGGCATCTTTTGGGGCGTGCTGGCATGGCTTCATTTTCTGTAGGCACAGGGTGGCTTCTGAGCGTGCTGCAGGACGAGGAGGCAGCAGCTCTCGTGTCCCGCGCCGGCCAGCGCGCTGCGCCTGCAGCGCCGCGGAGCCCGCCAGCCCTGGGTGCCCCACTGACCCCTCCGCTGCTGCGGGGAACGAGGCGCTCCTGTGAAAGGAAAAAATAACAGGCATTTCCGCATACAGGGCCTGGAACGGTTCAGTCTAAATTGAACTGTCTTGTCTTGAAGACTAGGGTCCGTTGCCGTCTTTTGCCCTCATCACTCTGTACGTCCTGCAAAGGGGAAGACAGGCTAGGCAAGACTTTTGTCCCAGTGCAGACTTTGAGCCTGTCATCGCTGCGTTAGTGCCTTTTTCTGTGCTCATGTGACCCTGCTACACTAAATAGCAGACCTTCATATGATCCTTCATATTAATGGGAGCAGGCACTGGCTGCATTTCCTCTATGAGAAGAAAAGTCACTGTAAATTCTGTATGTCACAGCTCAGTATGCAAAGACCAGAAAGCTCTAGTGGTTTTAACTAAGCGGGTGTGAATACTCCAATTCTTGTTGCATTAGTTTTCTGATAAAACAGTAAGGAAAGGAATAAACCTCTTCAGCTTGTTGGACCAAATTTGCCAGTGCATTTTTGTTAACGTTGGCAGAAATTTTTATAAAAGAGGGGGAACAGAAAAAACAAATTCCTAAAGTTAATGTTCATGTAAAGTTATAAAAGGGCAGAATGTCACACATTTTATATGTGAATGTAATGGTGCTAGTCAAAAAAACCCTTGAAACAGAAGTACTTAGCTATGGATGTCAAGCATAATTGAGGCTACTGCTGTAAAACGAAGCTTTCCTCAATGGCTGCACTGAGGAATTCCTTTGCATTTATGCATATACTTTCAAATGAAATAGAGCATTGTGACTTAATGCTCTCCCCTTTGTACATTGGAAACAGTACAAAATGACTGTGACTTTTAGGGTAATTTGTATTAGACTCATGAGAACATTGTTATTCTGTTTGGGTTTATAATATGTTTTAGATAAAATTGGAATCAAATTATAGTGGCTCCAGAGGAGGCACGCAAGGTAGGACAACATGTGAAAACTCCATCTCATTATGGGTTTCTGTGCATCACACAGCCACAATTCTGTATTCTCAGCAAAAAGCGTGGCTCTTGTTGCTGACAGCAGCACAGAATAGTCCAGAGGGTAAAACACGGGGGAAGGAGGAGAATTGTGCTGTGCTTCTTTTCTGCCCTCCAGTTATAGCTGGTTGCCCCACACAGAAGCGAGATGTTTGGAACAGGAGTTGCATGTGCAAGCAGAGGGTCCTGAAGTCGTGTCCTCAAGGCTCCCCATGTTTCATTCTCCCTGCATGAGCACTTCTCTCTCAGTGTGAGTTCTTATATATCTGAATTACACTTGAGTTTTACATACACAGCTGTGCGATGCAGCCCCAGACACACCTAAGCTATCCAGACAATTCAGCTACTGTTTAGGTCATTATAATTCTTCTTGCTGTCATCTCCCTTGCCTTTAATTTGATATACTAACACAACAGGATGGATAAAAACTTGGTTTTTTTCCCTTTCATCGTTTTGATCCTTTGCAGTCAGCAGTTTTCATTTCTCTACAGATATAAATATCTTATGTCAAGAAATTATCTTGTTGTTTTTCCAGTCTGTGGCCCATTATTTAAAAAGTTTAAAAAAACAAAAACTGTATTGTGAATTGTCAACTCTTCCCAAAGATGTTTCAGCACAATCATAGCAGCTGTTTCCCTTCCCCAAGTAATAGCGGAGACGGTTGTCTTTGCCCATCTGTAATGTCTTCTTAAATAGATCTCACAGGGCCATAAGTGCATTGCTGAGTTAAAATACATATATATATACACCTTTGATTTGGATGAGATTTATCTAAAAGTGGAGAGAGGCTTAAGTTCACCCTTATATATGCTGATTTCTTGCTCTCCTTCCATGCTGCTCTTGCCTGGGGTTGTGCTTTGCTAGCACAGCCCAGCACTGGCTGTTGCGTTAGCCCAGTTAATTCAGTGCTGACACCAGGTTTCTCCTCCTACATGGGCTGATCAGTAATATCTCCCCCTTGCAAAATGTTTTCCTTTCTTTTGCTCCTTTTGAGATGGGCCAACGAAAGATGTTAACAGGATGGTAGAAGAGATGTAAACCGGAATTTGCGTGTTTGATTTCTGACCTCTGACTACTTCTCTCCTCATGGGATACCCGCCTCTCACCACCAGCACAGGCAAGGATATGTGTAGGGCCAAGATGGTGAACAGGACAGTGCAGTTAAAAAAATGCTTTTATAGCATTCTAACCAACCTTTAATGACAAAGACATGTAGCTGCTCAGTTGGCCCAAAACATTTGGGAGCCACCGGCAATTGCTCTCTTGCAAATGTCTTTTGTTCTCAGTCACCAAAGCTTTGAGTTTATGTATTTGAATATTTATTGCCTGTTAGATGCTCCACTACTTCAGGATTATTACTTAATTAAACATCAATTTGCCTTATGTTTTCTTAATGTACTTTAGCATGAATATATCCCTGTCTTCATTTATAATTTAATCTTGTTTTATTTATGTTTGGGGTTTTCTGGTAGTAATTGTGTTTCCTCCCTTCTCTGACTTTCTGTACTCTTCTGAAGCAGATTGTTCATCTTTTCACTTTAGAGTCTGTTTGATAAAGCCTCGTGGTGATTCAATGGGCAGTTAAAATGTGCCCTTTCTCAAGGAAGAGAAAAGTGCATGTTCACTGACTGTAGTAGGCAAAGGCCTCTGGAGCAAGTGCCAGTGCTTATCTTCCTGGGAAGGTGAAACTCACATCTTTCGTGTAAGGCTTGAGTAGCCAGATTTACACCTCTCTCACTCACGCTAATGGCTGGCAATGGAACAGGCAGCTCGTAAGGAATTCCTTCACTGAGGCAACAGCGTGAGTCTCAGATGGATTTATTTGTCCATTTTAAGCACAAGGACCAATTGGAGAGAACGTCCTTGGAAGAACCATTAAATAAAAAATTTCCAAGAGCAAGGTGAGGTTGCACTAGAACAGATTGTCTTGGAGAGGCTTTGAAGGATTTATGGACAGGTTGGACAGACTTCTCTCAGAGGTGATAGAGGTGAAGAGGCAGGTGAAAAAGGTGGACTAATAAATCTGGAGAGTCCCACCAAACCCCTGTTTTTTCATGTTTCATAGTAGCTGGTGAATGTTCCCTAGATCCCAAACACCTTTGATGTTAGATGTCTAGAAGATTTTGTGGGTATATAGAAGACCAAGCTCCTTAAGTTATTTGGAAGTACATTAAGTTACTGTCTGATGCAAATGAGGTAATAGTTCTGGGAACCAGGTCTCCAGCCCAGTGCCTTAATCATGAAACCCCAGAACCAACCTGACCTTTTTTCCTTCTCTCCTTTTGCCTCACAGCTATTCTTTTGTGTTTTGGGGGGCTGCACTGTAGTTTTCAGCAGAGCACAGAGAGTTCCCAATTTGAAACTTTTTTCCTCCTGACTGGTAGGAAACTCTCGTAGTGGCAGGTTTGTTCCCCTTGGCTGAGACGGGTCTGGGATGCAGCAGTATCAGATGGGCTCCAAAGCTACAGAATGGAGGCTACAAAATAGCCTTCTCCATTTGCAATATTTGCCTGATGATAGCGTTGATTTGTGGTTATATCCCTGTGTCCGTCACATGGGATCTCCTTCCCCACCTCCCTGCACAATCAGAGAATGTGCATTAGCTCTTAGCGTGCTTGGCTTTGCCATAAGCTTATCCAATTGCTTGTGTCTGAGGATGGAAGTCTCATTTATCATTAGAGTAATGAACAAGTGCTCGGATTCCCTGTTCTCCATTTCTGTTTAGCAGCTAATTGCATTATTTAGGCAAGGCATAGGCATCAGTACATCAGATTTCACAGCTGAAAAATGGGAAATACCTCACTGAGCATTGAGGTAGGGCTAGTTACAGTTCTTAAAAATCAGAGAAATAAAAAGAGGGTCTCTACCAGAAGGGAAGATGCAGCTAACCTTCACATACCAGCATGGGAAAGGCCATGGAGGCCCGGCGATGCCTTCAGTTCCTTTGTGTGGGAAGCAGCAGAGCTAACACATTCTTCCCGCCTGGATGCAGAAATATTTCCCGGCATTCGTTCCTGCTTTCCTACATATCCACAAACACACATGCACCGCGCACATACCTGCAGCTATAAAATTTGGCTCCTCATTTAAAAGCAACAGGCAAATAAAAAATGTTATTACCTATCTCCCTTAAAACAGACCAGTGCTGAGAAAGTAAAACAAGCCTTTTGGAATAGTATGGAAAGCAGCCAAATTTACCACTTGGCAGTGGTTTGGATTTTCAATAAAGAAGCTTTCATGGAAGCTGGGACTGGGTTAGCAGGAAGGTATTAGAAATACACACACCTCATTCTAGTACATATAGCTTGCAACAGCTTTGTTGTAGACATGACCTGCCCGTGCTGGTTATGGCTCTGCTGGCACAGCTGGTTTTACACAAGGACATAGAGCCAGGCTCTGTGTCCCTGCCTCGTCCAGGCTTCCTCCTGGGGCTCGCTCCAGGCTCATGCATCCCCCTGAGTATTGCCTGGGAGAGCTGTAGCTGGCCCGGAGCAGAGGTGCCCCAGCATGGTGACTGCATCAGTGTTCAAGGCTGTGCCCTGTCCTGGTTTGGGTTATTATTTTAGACAAAGCTCTTGTACCCAGATAGTCAGCACGTTCCTGGAAGGAGCTGCTGGAACCACCTGGGGCTTGAACCAGTCCGTTTCTTGGTTCAGCTCTGGTTTGAGTTCAGCTAGGGTGAAACCTGTCCTGGTTTAGGGCAGTGAAGGTTTCTCAGACTGCCTGGCAGAGGCAGGGCCGCAGCACAGCGTGTTAGCCAGGAGAGGCTTTCATGCATCGGGCAGGCGCTGGTGCTGTGTCACAGCTGCTCCCCAGCTTCCCAAATCCAGGGTGCAGCGCTGGAAGGCTAGAGACGAGCTGAGCCTCACACTGTGCTGGCACCAAGAGCCTAACGAAGTGACTGACACCTCTTTAGACCTTCCACAGAAAACCCACCTGCACACATACATGTAGGCTGAAAAGCATCCCAACCTATAGCTCTGTGTACAGAGATACACAGCGCGGCTGGCTGGGGGGAACCGCAGGAGAGAAGGCACCAGCAGCAGTAGCGGGAGCTCTTGGATGGCAGAAGGGGTTTGAAGGCTGCATGAGGCAGTTTGGCTTAGCAGGCTGAGACGGTCTTGGGCTGCACTGCGGGGAGCAGGGAGGCTCTGTGGTGCTGCCCCATCCCTGATTCCCAGGGGAAAGAGAGGGAGAGGATGGCCATCGCTCTGCACGTCCTGGCGGTGCAAACCGCTCCCAGGCCAGCACATCCCTGTCACAGACTGCTGGCCGCAACCAGGGACCAGAAATGCCTCCTTCGGGCTCATACAGCTCAGCAGAAACATTAAAGTAAGTTTCAAGTCCCATACTCTGCTTAAAGAAGTGCAGTGCCAGAGTCTCGGTTCATATGGGCTCATTAGGTTATAAATTATACAGCCTGGCAGCCGTCTTTTCCCATATAAGCCCTGATGCAGGACTCACCAATGCTGCTATTCCAGCATTCAGCCCCCCAGTAGAATAGTTTTTTTTCTCTTTCTGCAAGAGTTTCATGTTGCTGCTGCTGCAATAAATGTCTCTCAGCTGAGATGTTCTGCTTATGCTCAGGTCATGGTAGAAAAATACTCATTACTGGAGACCAGTTGTTCCTCTGAGAAAGAACAACACACATTTTGCATCTACAAATATGTGCTGATTTGTAGGAAACAGGCATAGAAAAAAAAAAGCACAAATAAGCAGGAGGAGCTCTGTTTACAGTTAACACATTTTTATGTGAGCAATTATTTTAAGTGTCTACTGTTAAATGTCACATTTTTAATACAAATGGCTTATCGGTGATTGGCATCAGCTCTTCTTTCTCATTTCCAAATTTTTGAACATCCATTTCAGAGCAACTACGTCTGCTGTAGTCTAGTA